CATGCTGGGGTTTCTGGGAGTTGGAGTTTCTGCTGTAGATCGATGCGGTGGGGTTTGGAACCTGGCCCATCATGGTGAGCAGTTGTCTCTGATGTACTAGGGCCTCCTTGAATTCTTCCTCTGTGTGGGTCTTCAGGAGTTTCTGGCGGAAGGTGATGTCCAAGAACATGGTGGCAAAGGTGCGCCCCACCTCTGTCGCAGTCTTGGTGCTTTTCTGGGGGTGGGAAATGGGGGAATCACATCTGCAAATCATTGTCAGAAAACTACAAGGGTTAGGTTGGGGCAGCCAAAGAAAGGCCCCTATGTTTGAGTAATTTTTAAAAATACCTCTTTTCAGTCAGGAAGGAAATACAACCTTTTGGGCAATCTCTAGGGGAAGTCAGGGCTTGATGAGGACCTAGCAAGATGCTACAGAGAAACCCAGGAGGGCCGAGATGAAGGAACAGGGTAGAATGAGACCTTCAGATGCCAGGACTGTGGCGTACCCCAGCACATGGAAGAAATGCCCCCAAGAAGACAGCCAGGTAGCCTGGAACCCTCCTCTCCAGGAAAGGAGTCCACCCCAAGACCCCTCCTCACCATCTTTGGTGGGGCCAGCACCAGGATGACAAATCGCACCTCACAGGAATTCTCCCCCCAGTTCTGCGGGCGAACCAGGCGGCTGATGCAAACGTGCCGCCTTTGTAGGGTCTTGGAGGTGCAGCTGGCAGGGACAGGGGAGGGCACACAGTTGCCACTGCTGGTCGGGGAACCCCATCCCGAGTACCTAACTTGGACCCCCAGTGACTTCTGTTAGGGATAAGAAAGATGACCAAATGGGATGGGAATGCTCCCCCTCTCCCCCTGAACTGGGTTGGCCAGCCTCTACAGGGACATGGGATACCTGGCTCCACGGTGATATGTAGGGAGGCCCACTGTGGTGGCCTGGCAACTCACATGATGCAGAGCCATGACTGCTGGTACTGTACCCCTGTGACTGTGGAAGTGACTCCTTGGATGATATCTGACAGCAGGTGAACTGAGGACAGGGTGTAGGGGGATAGGAGGTCAGCTGGCCCACCTCCCTGACCTCCCTGCCAAGGATGGGAGATGGGCCTTACCTTTACCCTCCATGGGGGCCCCAGCATCAGTGAAGAGCATGGCCATGAGCATGTCCAAGTTGCAGTCAGGCTCAATGGTGCGGGGGTTGTAGACTATGCGGAGCACCATGGCCCGCAGCACCTCATCCAGCGAGGTGGCTGTCTCGTTCAGGATGATGCTGGCCCGTGCCAGGAAGCCATCTAGGTCTCGGTGCGCTCGGATCTCTTCCCCGAAGTTCTTTAACTTCAGGTACTGTGGGGACCCCACACAGGCCCAAGAGTGAGACCTGGCCTCTCCTCCATGGTGACCCCTCCCTGGCTGCCGCTTCCCACCAGGACCAACATCCCCTTCCAGAGGGGAAGGCCCTAGCAGATGAGCTCTGACCTAGTGTGAGTTCCCTGTGTCGTGCGAGAGGGGAGCAGCTTGAGCTATCTCAGGGGAGCAGCCACCTCCTGCCCCGACTATAGGCCCAGGACTCAGTGTCTCCTGTCCTGCAGATGGGCCACTCACCTTCCGAGAGGTGTGGAGGAGCCCACAGCCACCAGACGACTCACTGTCTACTAGAAAAAAGGGAGATGGCTCATGGCACCAGCCCACCTCTTCGGGTCTCTCTTGGTGGACTGGAGCCTACCTGCCCAGTCTCCAGTCCCCTGCCCTCCCCGCAGTCTATCCCTGCTACAACCACCATACCAGCCTTGGTGGGCTGCACCTCGAGGTTGACGTTGACAAAGAAACGGATGCTCTCGCCAGACACAATGGAGGAGTTGACTGTGTTGAAGGCCTCTTCTGTCAGGCTCTCCTCATGGGTTTCAGAGGCATCATCTGTGTCACACTTGAGGTAGCCTGGAGACCCAACCACCACCGAGAAAAAGACACCCCAAGAGGGCCTGGCCGTCAGCGCTACACCCCAAAAGGGACTTCACGACCAAGGAGCTGTTGTCCTGGGCTGTCCCACTTGGTGCACTCTCAGAGAGTGGCCGGGGAGGCCTCGCGTAGGCCAGGAAGGCAGCCTCAGGCCCAAGTGGATAGAGTATATAGTCTTGGCTCCACCCAACAACTTTCAACCAACATTCTTCAGCTACAGGAACCAGGGCCTTGCACTATTCTGACCCATATCCTTCAACCAGAAAAACAATATGTTCATTCTACAAACTTTGAGCTAGGAACATGGTGTAATGACACAGTTATGACTGCCTAACCCCTACCCTCCTAGAACTTCCAGGTTACAGGACCCAGACCTGCCTGGCTACCCAGATGGGATCCATGGGAAGCCAGAGCCACTGCAGTATCCACACTCCTCCTTCCCCACCTCATTGGTACAGGGTCTTAAGGCACTTCCTCCCAGGTAGGGCCTGGGGCAAACCATCAAGGCTGAGAGACATAGTCCAGACATTATACAAGACCCGGGAAGCAGGAGAGCCTGAGAAATAGAGCAGAGGACTGACGGGGGATAGGACTTGCAGAAGGAGGTCTCTTCTCAGCCTCACCCCCATGGTGAGAGAGGGGCATGCTGTGGCACCTTGGTCTGCCTCTCAGTTCCTGCAACTGCCCCACAGCACAGGCTCCCGCCTCTGGGAAGGTTTCCTGGAGAGGTACAAATGTTCTCACCTTCCCCAAGCCCTGCTGGGGCTCCCCACAGCCTCTGGGATCACCGTTTGAGACAAACCTGCTACCCATGTCCTGACCCCTGGCCCTTCAGATCCAGTCCATGCCCCACCTCGATTTCTCATGCCTCAGGCCAGTTGGCCAGCACCCCAGCCATGCCAGCTCCTGCCCTCTGAGTAGAAGGCCCAGAGAGCCTTCTTCAAGGCTCACAGAACCCTTCTCCTCTGGCAAGTCCTCCTAGGGCGCCGCCTCACTCTTGGCCCAGCTGGCACCTCTTCCTGACCATGGGTCCCTTTTGGCTCACCACTTGCGGGTGATCCCAGGAAAGGGACCTTCGTAGCTCAGAGCCCACCAATGCCTAACACCTGTGCAGGGACAGGGACGGGCCAGCAGCATGCCTACACCTGCCGGGCAGTGCTGGTTTCCTCTGCACATCCAGGCCCTGTCCCTCATGTTGTCCTGTGCTGAGCCTGGGCCCTTTCTGGACAGGAGGTGCTAGGCTTCCCCTGTCAAGGCCCCCATGGACTGGTGAACCCAAGGTCTGCACTGCACCTAGATCCCAGAGCAAAGCTATTAGGTCAAAAGGTGTCCTTCTGACTTTTGTCATGGAGCTCATGTCCACGAAAAACTCATTCCTCCCCAATTCCAGGCTTCCTTTGCTTTGACAATCTAGTTCTCAGCCCCAACCTGCCCCAGCTTCCCCTGTCACCCGAAGCATCCATTATTCTCCCATGCTGTCCCTCACACTGCCTCCTTCTTCCCAGGACCTCCCCAGCTGACACTACCAGGTCCCTCTAAAGCTCCCTCCTCCATCCTTAGCCCAGCCACATGCCTAATTTGCCTGCCAGCAGCCTGGCACATGCAGTTCTCATGCCCTAGGGATCCTTGGTAAGAGCACATCACCAGTCTGTCCAAGCACTGTCCCACTAGACACCTCTCTGATGGCCCTGCCAGTTCCTGGGTCTGGGCACAGGCAAGGCAGCACAGAGCCATCCCAGAGACAGGGGGAAGGGAAAGTTAGAGCGGAGCTAGCAGGGAACACAGAAGCAGAGTCACATTTCTTTAGAGGGACAATGGCAGCCTTTCCCTCACAGGGCTGGGCAGGGACTGAGGAATGCAGGCATCTAAATCTTTGGCCTCAGGCTGGTTAGATAACCAGAACATTGTAAAAGTGAACCATGGGGCATCACTAGATGGTCTATATGGCCCAGGAGGGAGAGCAGCCTGCCCTCCCAGGACCACACCACCACCAGAGACCTGCCCGGGTCCAGGCGGTTTCAGCTGCCTCTAACCACACCACAACCTCCTTAAGGGCAGGGTCCAAAGGCATCCCAGCACCAGTAGAGGACCACAGACAGGTGGCCAGTGCCAGGGGCACCCAGGTAGTTGGACTAGCACTCCCAGATGCTTTTGATCAAGGAGTTCTCTCTAGGCACACACCCATCCCTGAGTGTACTCACCTGAATCCTCAAGGTATCCATCCTGCGACATGATGGACGAGTTTTCTGCAAGGAAAGTCAAGAACTGTTACCAGCTCCAACGACCCGCTGTAGACAGTCTCTGGTGCCCATCTGCTCTCCACCCCACACCAACCCTGCTAATTTCTTCTTACCCTTCCCAGGGACCCAACCCAGGCCAACCTCAGAGAAAAAGGAGCAGGGGACAGTAGGAGGGCGGGCCCGAGAAAGCCACGCCTGTTATTTAGCCCATCCGCTAGAGACTGCCCAGGTGAGAAGGCAGAGATGTTCTCGGCCCGTTTCCTCCCAGGGTCATTAACAGTACCCCGTGAGATAGCGAGGGAGTCACTGGTTGCAGAACCCATCAGCCTCCTGGACTGGGGGTGGGGGTGCTTGAGCAGGTCGGAGGAGGTATCCTCCGCCCTCCCTGTATTATCCGGCCCACTTCTCCGGGTTTTCCTTCGCTGCCAAGCCCAATACTTGGGATCGAGCTCTACTGCGGACACATTGGTCCTCTTGAACTCTTTCTCCGGGGCTTTGGAGCCCCCCACCCGCCTCCCGGCCATCAACACCCATCACACGTGCAGCCCCCAACTTCACGCGCCCGAGCCACACGAAACCGAAGGGGCAACGGCCTCCTCCCCTGGCGCCTCCACCCGCGTCCCGGGCCTCTTGGGAGGCGGAGCCGTTGGTCCGCCCGGGGGATGGAAGGGGAGCCGTGCGCGCTCCCCACGCCGGGCCCCGGATGGTCCCGCTGTTCGTGCCGCGCCGGGCGAGGAAGGAAGCCGCAGAAAGGACCGCGTGCACGAGAGGACAGCGCCTCTAGGCTCGGAGACCCTGGGGGTCGCGGGTAGGAGGCAGGACGCCGACAGGCGAGCAGGGCGGGAACTGGGCGGCAGAAGAGAGGACGCGGTCCGGACGGTGGCGGTGGCGCACACCCGGCTCCCATCCCGGGCGCCCACGTGCACATAAATGTCGGACAAACAAACTCCAGGTGTCCGAGTCCCGTCAGCCAGGGGCCCAGGGACCACCACCAACTGGCGGACCCGCGCAGAACGTAAAGGGAGGCCCCGAGGCAGCAGGGAAGAGAGCGCG